GGTCGGACGAGCCGTGCGTAAAAACTCTCCGAAGTGGTGACTGGTGATCTGGTGTTTGTGGAGTTTTATTTTGTTAACCAGCTGCCGTGGAGGTGAGTGAATCTGCAGCTGTTTTTTCAATGTCAGAAAGTGACCCAACAGTTTCACGCAGTGGACGCGCCCTTTGGAAAAGAAGAAGAAATCAGTGTTGATATTTCAACGCGGTTGTCTTGTGTTTGTGATGTTTCAGCCGCACTCGTAACATTTTGTTGTGTTACTTCCGAGGTCGTTGCAGTGTTGTCTGTACAGGATACGCAAAGATATCCGGTAGTTTATTGTGTTGTTGTCGACTATTCAGTTTATTTCCTCCGCAGCGCGCAGAGTCCTATAAGGGAATTGAAACTTTTGCTCTCCGCCCTGTGGTACATTATATATATATGATAGCTGATGCCAAACGCTCTTAGTCGTTTGTTAAGTTTGGAACATCCTGAAAAACTTAAACTTAATCGGCGAATAATCGATGAATCTTGATTTAATCCTTCTTTAATGTCAGAATTTAAAAATAAACGTGTTAATAATGAAAATAACCCTCCAACAGAAGGATGCAGTTAGGGTTTGAATCCACAGATTATATTCAATATTGATTAATCTTCAGATTATTCTTTTTGATTAATCGTTTTGAAAACATGAAAAAAGAAAAAAAGAAAACTATTCCCCAGAGAGATGTGTTGTTTTGTCTGTCCAACAAACCCAAAGAGATTCATAATGTCTCAGTGTCTGAAAAATGCTTGAACAATTACTCAGCTGATTAACTGATTATCAAAATAGTTTAATTATTACAAAATTTACTTAATTCTTCCCAATCAACTAATTGAATCGAATAATTGTTTCAACTCTGGATAAAATAAAATGACTCAATAAATCCCTGTTAGAAAATATAACCCCAAGGAAGGTGATGAAGTACAAATCAATCAATCAAACTTTCTTTAGCCTATATAGAACCTTTCAGACAAATAAAACGCAGTTCATATTGATTTACAAGCAATTGACAAAACAGGTGTTTAAACAGGATTTATAGACCAATGCACGACAAAACCACATCAAAAAGAAAAAGTTAATGATAATAAGACAATAAAAAGTGAGGAGTTAAGATGATAAAAGCAAAAAAATAAAATTATAAAAAACTACACAAACAGTGATATGTTAATAAAATAAAATAAATAATAGTCAACAGTACAAATGAACTCAAGCGGAAACAGTTAGTCGATCAGAGTACAAACACTGTAAAGCCCCAGAGGAGCACTATCAGAATATTAGAGCTATTTGTTGTTGCACTGCATGTGTCAATACGTTGACTGTACAGCGTGTTCCAGAGTATTTGGGCAAACTTTTTTTTACCACAGATAACAAAGGAGATTTTCTTTGTTTAGTGATAAATCGGCACGCTGTATATTTAGTGTTTCTGATATGGTCAGTTTGTGGTCAGAAGGCATCATTGGGCAATTGTAATTCTTTATTGTCAAGTGTTGTTTTAGGTTAGTGTAGTTAGTGTGCAGCACTTAGCTGAAGTTTCTGACCATTAAAGTCTTCTGGGGATGCTTTTTAACTCTTTAATTTCCCAGATATGCCCAGAATATGGGCATATTTCAATTTGGCTCTTATGGTTGTGATTTTTACATAATACAGTGCTTCTCTGATGCTCTGTTGTCTCTGCTTAGAGAGAAAGATTTTTCAGCTGCAACCTTTGACCCCCTTCAGCCACCAGGGCAGCTGAAAGATGACAAGGCAAAAGAGCATTTTTCACTGCTGTTACAAAACCATGAAAACAATATGTGGTCATTACAGTTCAGCAGTTTTAGACGGTATATTCGGTATAGTCCTGTGATGTGCTGTATGTTCAGGTCAAAGCTGACTGCACAGGCTGACGTGGAGTCAGAAATGGCTTGTAAATAATTAACTTTCCCTCTCTGCCTCGTGCGTTTCTTAGTATAAATTCTTCACTATGCTAGGCTCCGTTAATGAAAACAGTGTTGATGCAAAAAAATCAATGAGTTACTGTGGCTCTGTCCTTATTTTTATTGTCTCAAAAGTACAAATTCCGATCATTCATCATCTAAATCAATGCCTCTGAGTCAAAAACACATTTTTATCAATGAAGCCCCAGTAATCTGCATGGTCTTCTTCTGTTTGAGAAATACATTTGACAAAACCAAACAGTACTACCACCTGCGGTGTTAACAGCCGGGCCCTTGGTCAAAAAGGCTTTTCCAAACCTAGTTAAAATCAATAAACTGGTCGAAGTGTTCTCGCAGTGTTCCTGCAGGCTTAAGCAATGCTTTATATAGTAGCCAAGCTCTGTGCACTGTGTTTACACAGTTTTCACTGTTAACCCCCTTAAAGCCTGATCAGGAGAGTATGACAGGCTGATATATCCAAGCACAATAGCCTTTTATGGAAAGCTGAGTAGCTCTACTGTATTAATGACCCTTTTAATTTTTAATTTCCCTCCTCTCAATCATATCTCGAACTGATCTTAAATCTTCTTTCAGCTAAATGTAGGGTCACTTCAGTCCTCTACCACTTTGTTTTTCTCTCCCTAACTCGCTGTATGCTGACCTCAAAATCTCTCCTTTTCTCTGCATCGCTCTCCCTCCCTCTCTGCCTCACACTTTTGGTCATATGACCACCAGAAATGGCTTGAGGCTGAACAGATTTGATTGTGCAACTCTGCAAAGCTTCACTCTGTCAGACCAAACCAGCAATAACCTTCTTGTGCTTTGCTCGGTCAAACACACAAAACGTGGGTGAAAACAGTATCAGAAAAACAAAACAGATGATTATAAAATGTGTGTGCTTTAAGTATTCCTGTTGTTCTCAAAGGGTCGGAGTAGTTTTGTCACCAAGAGGATCAGGATTTGTCTCTTTTATCCTAAAAATGGGCCGACAGATATTGATTCGAAGGGTTTCTAAACATGAATGCACTGTAGCTAACAGGCAGCATAGCCGCAGTTCATTCTTGCTGATTTGTTCTGCTTAAAGTTGTAGCAGTGAGTGGCAGTCTGGAATGCAGAGATTTCATATGTTTGCTGGATATGCAGTTGCTCTGGTGTTGTGTGAAGAGTCAGTACAAGTGCTTATATTTTAAATGCAATGTAAATATTCAAACTTATAACGTATAAATAAGAAATAGGTGATAAGAGAATTGAGAAATATTTTATTACTCTCAATCACTCTAATCAGGAACCTGTAACAGAATCCTACTGTTATCTTCTTTAATCTACAGATGATGTGAGTGAGTGACTTGTTTTTACATAGTTTAGTGTGTCTGCTGGACCTTTTTGACCTCCACATTTCTATGTGCCTTTTGATCATGTGAGGCGTAGTGCATAAAAATACAGTCCTCCTCAGAGTAACAGCTAACCGCTTGCCTTTTCTTTTATTAGTACAGCCCAACTGATACATCGGCCGGGACAATATTGTTCAGAAATACCAATGTCTCCATTAGAAGGTTTATTTTTCCACCATAAATCGTGCTGCTTAGTTGAGTTTTTTCCCAACCAAATTTAGGGATTCTTGCCAAAAACGCTTATGTTTTAGGGGTGTAAGAAATCCTCCCAACCCAAAGCAGCGTTGTAAATGTAAACTAAGGGCTATTATGTTGCAGACACTGTTTTACATAAAACAGTAGTTACAGTGTAAACCTTTTTAAAACTCAGATTTTATACATATGGTGGTGTATTGTTTAGATTATGTTTTCCTAAGATTAGATTTGAAAAATAATGCAATATATCACCTTTTCACCCTATACTGGAGATGGTTAGTTTAGCATAGAGACTGGAAACATAGAGAGGGGAAACTGCTAGCTGGCTCTGTCCAAATTTAAAAGCACTGCTCCAATCCTGTCGCTTGTAAATCCACTACTTCAGCTTTTGTAAACTAGTAAATTAATGAGATATAGTGTTATTTAATGAGCTTTAAGTGGATTTTGTTATCCTTTGACAGAGAATTTATGCTTCTTGCATAATTGCAGCTGCAGCTCTTTCTCCTGCCTCTGGTCTTTATGCTAAGCTAAGCTAACCAAATTGGATAGATATGAGAGTGGTATTAATGTTCCATCGAACTCTTGGCAGGAATGGAAAGAAACAAAATGTCAAACTGTTTTTTCAAGAAACAAAGATCAGCTGATATAGTCATATCTTTAAAATGTAATGATATCGATCTCAGAAATCCAGAAACAGCTAGGTCTTTTATTAGCTGACATTTATCTGTATGCTCACTGCTGAGAGTGTTCCACTGCGCGGCTCACTAATTGACAAGAATCTAATGAGACTTAGACTTAATTAGTGCTTTATTAATGACAGGTGTACCATTTATATCCATATACAATAATCATGTCAAGCTCAGTTCTAGTGCTTCTACCTGATGGAGTGATAAAGATCTTTCAATGAAACCAAAACACTCCTCACTTCACTTATACCTGCTCTGTACTTCCATTTTCTAATTTCAGGGTTATCGACGATTCATGTGGAAATAAAACACTTGAGATTTAATCAGAAATGCCAAGATAAACCTCAGAGTGGCAGTTTACTTTTGATTCACTGGTCTTCCATTACGTCAGAGGCACATAATTGTTGTTAGTGTGTTGTTGTTTTTTTGACATCTAAGTTAAGATAGACGGTCAAACAGGTTCCAGCAAAGAAATGAGCAGGAGGATGACACCAACTTGCTCTCACATTAGGGAGTGGTTTTATTAAATAGAAACATAGGAGTGATTGTGATTTAGAGAAACAATGGATTGGTTGGTCAGTGATAGCCTCTAGTGTCTGGTAGGAACTCATTCATATCACTCATATATGTCTATCAGCAGGCTGCTGTCTACTGAGTCACACTCCTCTGTGACTCACCTGTCTTTGGAAGGAGGAAAAAGAGAGTTTTATTTGGTCCTGGTTGACAAAATATCATTATTATCATTGTTCGGTCTCTAAAACAATAAAAAATTGGCCATCACATTATCCTAGAGCACAAGGTAGCATCATCGAATGTCTTGATTTATCCAACTAATATTGTCCAAAACTAAAAATGTTCAGTATGATATAAAATAAGACCAAGAAAACAGCAAATTGTTACACTTGTGAACTTCGTACGAAGTATAATTTTTAAATAAAAAGATGACTTAAAGACAAGATAAACTTTTTTTGATTAGAAATGTGGTTGTTGAAGCAGTACAAGTACATACATAAATAACAGAGGTATATAAAACTAAAATAAGAAAAGAATACAAAATAAAAAAGGAGTGTTAAAGAGTGTTTACAAATTACAAGGTAAAGTGACAGTGGTGTGATTAATAGCTGCAGAGTCAACTGGTCTGTATGTAAATGTAAATGGTAAACACCAGACTAATGTACGGTTAAGTAGGTTTAAATTAACTGTTGTCTTTATACCCTAAATGGTTAGTGGATTATCAACATAGCTGTGTTGTTACAGCTTGTGTTGATAAAGGATTTGTTGAACAGTATGTCAATGCATTTTATAAACATACAGTATACCCTGTCAAATGTTAAAAAAAACATACAAATACAAAAGAAATTGCCATCAATTGACATACAGGTGTCAGAAATGGTACCATTTTGCCAAGGTTCAGCTTATAAGGGACAGATTTTCTATATCTTAGTTAGAAAAGTTAGTTTTCCTAACTAGGCCCCTAAAATACCTTAAATAAATCTATTTTAAGCAGCTCTTTAGAAATTAGATAACATAAAAATGGTAGTGCATACATTTCCTGATTATCCATTTCCAATATTATTTTACATGTAAAAGTTGTTCTGGAATAAGCCAGACTAAAAACACAGAGACCATTTTCCTCGGCCGAACGCTGTTACATAAAGCAGTTCAACATGATATGTCTTTTCTATTTCAGCTGCAAGGAAGTGAAACCTTGAGTGTGTGACACACACACACACACCCACACAAATGCACACACAAGGGGAAAACAACATATTCACATGATTCAATTAGCTTTCTTACAACCCGCTAAATGTCTCTCATCTATCTTAACTTAATCTTATTTTTCCTTTTTTCTGCAGAATAAGCATCACAACAGACGGGGTTAGAGAAGTCCCTATGAGGATACATCTGATTGTGCAGTTACACACATTTGCCCACCACTTCCTCTTCTCCCGTGGAACACTAAATTGCAGAGGTCTTTCTGAAATGTCAGAATGGGTAACTTTCAAAACCCCGAAACCTATGAAATCTGCAATTTCATGATCATGGTTTGACTCGTGATTTGGGAACTGTCTGATCTTGGTTCAAAGCCTGTCAGTCATGTTGGAGCCTGGATCTGTGGATGAGGGACCAGTCTGCAAGTTTGTTTGCCCACCGTATTTGTGGAGAGAAACATATGAGTTGAACGTATTTGACGTAGCAACTGGCCTTTTTTCTGGACTGCTCACTCTGCCTGCTGACTGTGACTGGGATCACCAAAGGACCATTACAATGTTCACACCCCTAAACTCTTGGGAAATGTCTTCTTACTGAATACATTTTTGTGTTAAATTTAAAGCAAAATGGAGGAACTAAGGACATCTGCTTACTGGAGCCTTTACATTGATGAATTAAAAACCAAAGGAATTCCCTCTGATGAAAGTCTGACCCCAATGGGATAAGAACTTAACATTTAAGCTATAGTAGACTGTAAGACTGAACAGGTAATTACACAAAGAAATCTGGAGTACTCTCTCCCAGAATGCATTGCCCTATGAGAAAGAAACGCCCAACACGCGACTCTGATTTCTCTGCTATCGCGGTCCCCTCCATGCAGGGGTCCGGGTATCTTGACTACACGGTTGAGACCCACGCTTCCAAATCCCTCAAAGCCATGGAGGAATTCAGACGGCACGAGATGTTGTGTGACCTGGTGTTACACGTCACACACAAGGACAGGATAGTGGACTTCAAGGTGAGATTCCCTCTAAATGAAACCATCAGAATGCAGTTTGTGCCATTTTTGGGGATGTTTGTTTTCAAAGTTTCTGGGAAAAAATCCAACTATAAAGTTACAACAAACTAGCAGAGTATGGATCCCTAAAAACTGACTTGATGTAGTAAAACATTATCAGACAAATAACAAAAATGCAACTCATTACATCAATAAATAGTATTGTGGAAACACTTTAGATTACAACCTGCAACACACAGTATAATTGTCAATTTATAGTGTAATGTTTGTACTAACCTGAACCTGTACTCATAATATCAGATATCCAGTAGTTAAAAAATATTTTGTATTAATTCCTTAAATTCCCAGATTATTTCCCCCTTATTCTCTTCACATCATGTTTTACCTACATGTATCTTTCTGGTACACCCTTGGTACAAAAAAATAGACTGTAAACTGAGAAGTATTTCACTGTATTTTGCCAAACCATAACCTAGAGCATTACCAATATGTTGTGGTGTTAAATGATTAAAATGATGTAAAAATAAACATCCTTATACTTTTCTTTTACACACGCGCATGTTACGACGCAAGAAGCATCATTTCTGCCAATAGATCCTCCTAAATGCTACACACTGGACCTTTTAAGTAAGGATTTCTGCTTATCTTTGTATTATGTAGTTGTAAACATTACAGTTATTATGTTGAGACGATACGAGATGAATGACAATACCACACTATATATATATATATATATATATATTCATACTCAGTGTAATCAACAATAATGAAAATATTTGCAGCCCAAGTTACAGGAGTTTATACAGTGATGCTGCAGCAGTATGCAGTATAATATATGGATGATGAACTTCATGTGGACTGTTTTATGATGAAAGTTAGCTTCAGCTAAGTAGCCAGACGAAAAAGCTGGTGCTCAGTGTGTTAAGCTTCCATTCATTTAGATAGCTACAGAGTCCTCCACTGCTTCACACACACACATACACATACACATACACATACACACACAAACACAAACCCTTGAACAATCACTGGTCTAGACATACAATACATTTTCATCTCATTGCAGTAGGGAAATTGGAAATGTGGTGGAAAAAATTGGAAATGTTGTGTAGGGAGAAGTCAGACAATAGATCTGTGCACTGCACTGGTTGCCCCTATTTAATTTAATGATGGTAAATTGCTAATTACTAATTTAATTAATATTTAATTTACTTATAGAAAATCAATTTAATTATGTTTATGTTAAATAACACTTGTAACACTAGTTTACATTTCACTCTAACAAAAATCTTGGTCAGGTAGATAAATTATTGTATGTGTGCTCTATAAATAAGAAAATGAAGGAGCAGAAAAATAAAAATGAACTAATGAAGATAATGAGAAGACATTAAGTTTTAAATTGTTATATCAACTGAATAGTGGTAAAGGAAAAACTAAAGCTTTTTGCTTTTTTACCAGCTGATTGGAGGTTAAAGATTGAAGCTTTTATTTTTACAATCCATATTAATTATTTAATTAACAATTTAATTTATGATGTTATATTTTTCACTTGTCTGATAACCTTTTACTACATGTCACTGCCGGGACTCCATAGCAGATGTCTGTTTATCATTCAGTCATGGGCCAATTATAGTGAATGCAGTGTTTCTGTATCATCTAATAATTTTTTTATCCAGGTGCACAAGGTGGTACTGGCCTCCTGTAGCCCCTACTTCAGGGCCATGTTCACCAGCAGCTTCAAGGAGTGTCGCGCCCAGGAGGTAACCCTGTGCGATGTCTGCCCCCAGGTGGTGGAAAAACTTATAGACTTTGCCTACACCTCCCACATCACAGTGGGAGAGAAGTGTGTGTTGCATCTTCTCTTGGCTGCTATGAGGTAAACACACAGTATTTAAACAGCAGCACATTGTGTAGTAAAGATTATCCTGAGTCTCTGAAAACAGCTGAAGTCAGACACTCTTTTAAATAACAGAGAATTTCCTCCTTTTTTTGTTTTTTACAAGGTTTCAAATGGAGGACGTGGCCAAGGCATGCTGCGATTTCCTCACTAAGCACCTGGAGCCTGCTAATGTCATCGGCATCGCCCGCTTTGCTGAGGAGATCGGCTGCACAGAGCTGCACCAGCGGAGTAGAGAGTTTATCAATACACACTTCAATGAGGTAAGGTGTGCTTGTGCTTTCTGTACTGTACCAGTAAAGTCCGGTATTAATGCGTATTTTAATGTAATTTATGCTTTACTTTATGTTAAGCAAACATGTGACATACAGTATTTTTATTGAGCCTCTATCATACACCTGTCATGTTATTCCTACATGGGAAAAAGAAGGAAGCTGAAAATGTTGAAGTGACGTTCAACAAAATCAGTGACTCTGTACAACATCACCCTGAGAGAGCTCCAGGACTTCTCCATTGCAAACATGCTCAGGGTCGTCCCCATTGGTCAAGGATTAGTTTTTAAGAACTCACTGGTTGCTCTTGTGCAATGCTGCACCCATTTGGTTGCTTTTTCTGGTCCAGTGCAATTTATACATATAATAATATATATAAATGTGGTGTAGTGACCAGTGCACATACACTGAGAATTGACTTTAGAGTGAAGTATATATATATATATATATGTGTGTATGTATAGCACATTTCATACAATGGGGTGATTCAATGTGCTTCTACAGGGCAAGCAACACAAGCAATAAAAATGTATAGGTAAACTAGTGTTTTGTTGAGTCGTGGGACAACCAGCAGGCCAGCCCCAGATGTCCTAAGGGTTCATGAAGGTTTATATGGCACAAGCATGTCAGAGATGTATTTGGGCCCAGAGCCACAGATAGATTTATAGACCAGCAGTAAGATGTGTATGGATTGTATAATGCAGTCATATGTCCTATTTTTCTGAGGACCATGGCAGAAGCATTCTGAATAACTAGAATGTTTGGTCTGTTAAAGTAAAAAAGATTTATGAATGTATGACTCCTCAAGAATGAGATGGTTGTTTATTCAAGTGTAAAATGACCATGGATGTTATTCTAGAGACCCATCTTTCCCACCAGATCAGTGATTTTTGTCATTGTGTAATTTCATGTTATTTCCTGTTGTTACCTGCCAGCTTTTTTCTCATCTCCTTTGCCTGCTCTTCGTACTGCACTAATTCTTGGCCACATCCAGCTCTGCTCTTAGATCCTGAGTTCTCCTGAGATTTTACTTGTGCTTTCGCTTGCCTTACACTGCCGGTCTGCTCTCCATCGTCCTTAGCTCCTCCACCGTGGATCTGATGTCAGACTGTGAGGCTGTCTCTGCCTGGAACAAAGCCCCTGACAGGCTCAGAGTCAGCAGGAGCAAAGCTGTAGCACTTCTCATGTCTTTAGATCTTTTAGATGTTGATCGACCTTACATAGACTGCACGTAGCAGGTAGCAAGTCACAGTTAGAAGCTACAGGACATTGTAGCCTATATGTATTTTTTATGCAGTGCTAATTAGTCTTGCCTAAGGAGCACTTTTGAATACTAACCTGTATGCATGCGTTTTATCTTTTATTCTGAATAAGTCACATATATGTTGTGCTCATGTCTTATGATAACTGTGTGAAAATGCAGCTGCAGTGTTTATTGGTTACTTGAATCCACTGGCCACTGATCTGTGTCAAAGACAAACTCTCACTTTGGTTGTATCAACAGTACTTTACCCCTTTTTTACACTCTTTGTCAGTACGTCGCACATGTTTTCTCTCTCCCTGTCGAGGAATGATAGAAACTACCTTTGTAAGAACGTGAATGTTCTCTCTGTGTCTGTCTTATCTCTTATTCACTGGATACTATTACTTTAACTTGAAAGGTATCCACATCAGAAAATCTGAAAAAAGGGAATACAGTGCGCACCTCCAGCAGTTAATATGCCTTTATCTGACCGTGCTCTTGTGTGCCTCTGTCCTAGGTGACTAAGGAAGATGAGTTCTTCAGCCTCTCTCACTGCCAGCTGCTGGAGCTCATCAGTCAGGACAGTATCAAGGTGCTCTGTGAGTCTGAGGTGTGTGGCATTAAATTAACTAATTAAACCTTAACTGAGAGGCATGAAAGGAACATTATTGCAATCACTGTGTGTTCTGAAACCCTGTTTTCAACACAAATATTTAGTTTATTGTCTGGTATTTTTTGCCTGTTGTTTAATGTCAGAATATTAGAAGAATACTGTATATTGTAAGATGTTTTAAGAGTTTTACCACAGTCACAGAAAAAGGTTACAGTTTTTAACATTCATTTTGTAAATTTGGTCTGTAAAATCAGCCATGAATGCTTTTTGTGTGTGTTTATTATCATTTATATCATATTAAAACAGTTCAACAGCTGCCAAGAACTCTGCACAATTGCTATGAATCCAAGTTGTATAGAGATATAAATAACAAACCACATATTGATATGTCTAATTAAATCAATGGCAGGTGTACAAGGCCTGCACAGACTGGGTCCGCTGGGATATGGAGGGTAGAGCCCAGTACCTTCATGCCCTCCTGAATGCGGTTCATATCTACGCCCTGCCTCCTAAGTTCCTAAAGAACCAGCTCCTGTCCTGCCCCATCCTCAGTAAGGTAAACTGCAGCCTCATTTCCTTGTGGAAACGGACAGATACTGTCTCACTCAGTTACCTACTCTTTACAGGTTTTAATTTTCTGCCATGTCTTTTAACTCCAGGCCAATTCCTGTAAGGACTTCCTGTCTAAAATATTCCAAGATATGACACTGCGAAAGCTGCCTCCTGCACCTAACCGTGGAACTCAACTCATCTATGTGGCTGGAGGGTAATAATATAAATTACAGTTATTATAAAGTTTCCTCAACAATATTTCTTTATTCTGTAATGCATACATGGTTGATCATTGTAGCCCATAACTAACTATACTTATACTGATAATGAGAAACTGATTATTGGACACTTGGTGACCTCTTTCTCACAATTTTGACATACATGTTAATAAGAGACCTGCATTCAGAACATAGATGTCCATTTATAATACACAACTTGTGTGTAAAGCACCTCATGGATCAAGAAAGTGTCTTCGTCTGCCACCCGGTGGCAGTTAGGAGCTCATCCACCCTGGCCATTTCTTGTGGCTCTCTCTCTCTACTGTGTACTTGTGTATATATATGTACTTTTTTAAACAATGCATATAAATTCCAGAACACTTAAGAGTGAACTACCCACTCACCATTTCTTTTTCTCTGTTCAGATACCACCAGCATTCACTAGCGACCATGGAGGCTTATGATCCCAGGAGGAATGTCTGGCTAAAACTGGCTGACATGGGGTCTCCATGCAGTGGTCTGGGAGCCTGTGCGCTGTTTGGGCTCCTCTACACTGTAGGTTGCGTCGGTTATGTCATACAACCAGTGAAAAGCATTGCAGAGTTTTAATTTCTGAATGACACTCAATGAGATGTGAAATGATGCAATACAGTATGATACAATTCTATGTTATGATAAAATATGATATGATACATGGAAAATAAATGAACACTGGTTGTACCACTGTAATGGCACATTTATGTGTACATTTGTAATTTAATACTGTAATTATTTTACCCAATTCTAAACTGTGAGCTTCTACCCGTCAATCCTGAATAGACTAATGTTTGTTTTGACAAGTTTAAGAGATCAACATAATCTCTGTGCTAATCCCTGTTTTTGTGAATCCAGGTTGGAGGCAGGAACCTGTCCCTTCAAAACAACACAGAGTCCAGCGCCCTGTGCTGCTACAACCCAATGACCAACCAGTGGAGCCAGCGAGCCTCCCTCAACATCCCCAGGAACAGGGTCGGGGTGGGCGTCGTGGACGGTTGCATCTACGCCATCGGCGGCTCCCAGGGCTCCACGCACCACAACACGGTGGAGAGGTGAGACATTTCTGAGGTGTTCATTCTTTGAGTGTGTGAGAGGATTTATTTATTTAACTCGGCATTTGAGAAGTAATTTGATTTTAATGACATATTATTTACTAGTATGAATGTAATGAGCATGGATTTCTTTCCATGTACACACATTCTTAGATTAAGTGCATTTACCTCAGTATAAGTATGGATAATGGCATGAGAGAGATTAAATGAATAGCTGCCATTCAACCTAAAGAGCAGTCAAGAAGTTTGCAGGTATTCCTCTTAGCATAATTGGATAAAAACACGAACTCTTTCAAAACATGTTGAGACACACACTTCCCAGGAATGTCAATCTCTTTGGGAATGCTTTACATCTTGTTGCCGCCACCGCCAAGCACGGAGGAGTTCCAATGCTGTTGTAGATCAGTTTCAATCAATTAATAACAAGAAACACAAGTCAAGCAAGTGGCAGTTTCTTTTGATACTATTATCTTTTATCCCATATCAAAAAACTGTGCTTCAAGTGTAACCTCAATTCCTTTTTATACTGAAGGGTATAGATTTCTAAAAGATGCTACTCACAAGAGAATTATTAAAGCTCATCAGATGCCACATGCAAGTCCTTTCATGAGAAGCTGCTAAAACTATTAAAATGAATGAAACACATCAGATGAGATTAGATTTATAGTAACAATGGTTGGCAAGAAATGGCTCTGCTCCTGAGGATGCTTCCCCAAATGAATCCAAGCAACATGTAAGAGACTCAACAGGAAGCTATATCTCCCTGTTCATTGTTTTAAGTGGGCTAAATTAAGATTTTGTATTATTTATCATTGAAATTTGCATTGCTGCGTGTAGTAATTTCAGGGTTCCAAAGCACACTGTCAGTGTCGGCACAGTGACCCAAGAAGTGACTTGGATTTAGCGTTTTTTTCAAGGGCTTTTCACCAATGTTTGAGGGCAGCTGATGTAATATCAACCACCCTCCTATCAGCAGTTTACAGCTGGAATACACCCAGTGCCGAGAACTGAGCCAACAACTTTTTAATCATTAACCAGTTAGTGAACGTGCTATCCAACCTGCCTCATCATGATTCAGTTCTTTGTTGTTGTTGCCTTCTTGCAGAGTTAGATGAGAAGATTGATACCAGTCTCGTATCTGTCTGTTGAATGTGAAGCCACAGCTAGGAGGTTGTTTAGCTTAGCATAAAGCCAAAACGGCTCACCTGGCTCGGTAAAAAAAACCAAAAACAATTCACATGCCAGCACTATGAAATAACATGTTATGTTTTATTTATTTAATCAGGACAAAAAGCCCAAGTATAAAAATGTCATGTTGTGGTTTCAGAGTGGGTAAATTACTGCATCCGGCCCAGAAATAATTAAATAAGACATTTTATTTAACATCTTACACAATCAGAGTAGACCTTTAAACCCACTTTTGTTTCAAACACATGGGCATAGAGTGAAAACTGAAGGATTTATTTATTTAGAGATGTCTGTTGAACTACAGAATCATGTTGAATTTCTTGTCTCGGTCTGCTCTCTGTGGTGTTACAACCTCTTTGGCTTCAAATAAAGCTTGTCAATAGTTGCCAAACATGGTTGCCAGCTTAACCTAATCCACTTAAAGTTGGCTGTCTTGTGTAGATTGAGAAGGTTGCTGCACACAGTCACTGCCCTCTGACCAACTTAAAGCTTTGCAGCACTGATTCACTAATATGATTGTAGTAATTGACTAATATGTAATGTCATTAGGAACAGATTATCTCTACATTGACTACATGTACCTCACAACTGGTGTTTGTTTTGCAGGTGGGATCCAGAGTCTAATCGCTGGTCCTTTGTTTGCCCGATGTCGGTGTCTCGTCTGGGTGCCGGAGTAGCAGCATGTGGGGGGGCTCTGTATGTGGTGGGGGGCTATGACGGGCAGAACCGCTGGAACACTGCTGAGAAATACCAGCCTGACACTAACACCTGGCAGCAGCTGGCACCCATGAACACTATACGCAGTGGACTGGGTGAGTCAGTGGGAATTCCTGTCTTTATGAGATTTTGGTTTGATTCAGTTCAGTCAGAATAACGTTTTTCAGTTGTGTGTGTGTGTGTGTGTGTGTGTGTGCTTTTTTTTAACGCTCATATTTGCCAGAATTAGAGTCAGAATCAAGAAGTAGGTTTTCACATAGGAGGGATTTGCCTGATATATTGGTGCATATAAGCAAAATATATCTAAATATGAAGTACTGCAGCCATGAAGCATACATAGCATAAAATATTATAAAGACAATAAATGGCAGTATGTACAGTATGACCAGTAGTCTCACTTAATATCTTGTTTTGTGAATTATGAAATGTGCTTCTTTGCTTTCTTGCTGATTGATACCACCCTAAGACTACAGCCAGCAGGTAGTCTGGAAACAGGGGGAAAACCTAGCCTTGTGCTGTCAGTGGGGGCAACAATATCCCCTAAAGCTCAGTTCTCCACTGCGACTGGCCAAGAAGTAGTCCCCTTTGTAAAAAAAAGTGGTAATTTTTAAATTTCTGATTTTGTATGGATTACAACAAAAAACATATAAAGTATAAGTGAGTTTCAGATGCGATCCTACGCTGATTATGCAACCTTTAGACAGCGCCATGCTAAGTATTTCCCCCAGTTTTCAGTTTTTATGCTAAGCTAAGCTAACTGGCTGCTGGTTCTGGCTTCATATTTACCGCCATTTTGCCAAAATGTCAAACTATTCCTTTAAGTTCCGTCTCATGTCTGTGTTTGCAGGATTGGTGTGTGTGAACTCGTACCTGTACGCAATAGGAGGGTATGATGGGCGGAGCCAGCTGTGTTCTGTGGAGCGTTACAATATAGCCAGGAACCTGTGGGAGCCCAGGGCCTCCATGCATTTCTGTCGCAGTGCACATGGAGTCACTGTTCATCAGGGACGCATCTTTGTCCTTGGTCAGTTGACTCATTAATCAAAATATAAGAGACTGGAAGTTCAAACATGAGTTAAATGAAAGAGAGGGCGAAAAAAAAAAGGTTGGCAAGCAGGATGTTATGTAGGGCTACAAGTAGAGTGTTTGTGATCGCAGACTCACAAAAATATATGATCAGTGACCTTTTATTAACACTAATAAGAGCTGCCTCATTGGGCTCATCAGGCTCTTGTTTCTTTTTAAAAAAAATATTGTTTATTTACTGATGTCTTCGCTTCTTTTTCTTCTAATTAGATTTAATTTAATTAGTTTTATTTTATCTTGTTATATTTGTTTATTTAACTATTTCATCTTTTTTTCCTAATTATTTATTTTGTGTGTGTTGCTCAAGGATGTTTTGCATGTAGTTTTTGATGACGCTTGCATTGACTCACCATGGATTGTCTGAATCCAAGTGTACCATCACTCATTAGTGTCTACACTACCCCAAACTCATATTTTTATGAGGTAAAAAGAGTTTTGTTTGGTAATCAGTCTATACTAGAAAGTTTTTTAATATCTCTAGGCTAGTATATGTCAAAATGTTGGATGTTTATGCATGTGGGAGCGATGACAATACATGCTTGTTCAGTAATTAAATTATTCAGATTAATTAGTAGACAGTTGGGTCGGGAGATGGCCAATGAGATCCTCTGTGTTACAACAATGTGGGCTGTACTCTGTTTTATTTCTAATGTGGCTCAATGACTCAGTGTTTAATTAAATAGAGTGAAGTATGGTTCAGATGTTAAGAGTAAACAGACGAGCAGCAATCAAATGAAATGTCAGATCGGGAAGAAATAACAAATCGCTTCACTAAATAAAAATTTAAAAACCTAACTTTGCCTTTAAAAAAAAATTATTTTTACTAATCCATTTATTAATGACAGAATAATACAACTGAATAATTCATCAACACAATAGCTAAACAGTTCCCTAATTGGTTTATTAACAGCTTCATTAAAAACTGTGTCTGTGTGTCTATCCAGGAGGTTTTAACCAGCAAGGCTTCCTGTCCAGCATTGAGTGTTACTGTCCAGAAAGAAATGAATGGACGCGCATCACCGACATGCCCGTTGGACGCAGCGGCATGGGCGTCGCTGTTACCATGGAGCCGTGTCCCGGCAGCCTGCCGGAACAAGGGGATGATGAGGACGGAGACGAATAGGATGGGGATGAAATCTGTCCAAGTCTCAAGTGTTGAATACGGTTGCGAGTGGTGCTTCTTTTCAAGAGAGGGTGAAGTGCATTAAATAAGAAAAACATTCCAGTATGAACTCGTATATGTCCTCGCCCCTAATGGATCTTGTTTGTGTCGCATCTTGGAGTGCTGAAGGTATTATTTGTATGGAAACACTGAAGATGAAGAATTTCTATATGAGCAAGTGATACAGAAAACTGGTAGCATGACAGTGACCTCACAATGAACAAGGTGCTACAGATGTAATCTCAAACGATGATACTATTTAATTAATTTAGTTATTCCACCGCTGTTTTTAATCTCTCAGTGTTCAATTGTATTTGTACATTTTGCAAAAGTTTGAATGGTCTTAAGTGACCTGATTACTAATTCCTGTCTCTGTGTTGTATCTCTACCTCTGACTCTGTTTAAATGAGCACTTTTCTTATGCGTCGTCTTTATTTTGTGCCAAATAGTTTCACCCAAAACTGCCATTTTTGGAATGTTTTTTTTTTTTGCATTTACTTTGTTGTGTTTCTGAAAATAAAGCTAATCAAGTGTGTGAATGATCAATATTTTATTTCCAATTCCACTTTTACCTCATATGCACTGACGTTAGTAAAGGCAAATGTGTTTTACTGACCTCTTGTGATCTCAGTTATTAGGATGCTTCCTGACAAGTGTATCGCCCCTGATATGTAACAACAGATGCACTACCACTAGATGGTGGAATAAGTCCAAAAACAGCTGCTCGCTGCAACATAAAAAATGTTTTTTTCTGTTGTTTTTTTTTGTTTTGTTTTGCAATGTAAAAGAACTCCCAGGACACTACCAGCTCAAAAATAACAAAGCAAAAGAACAAGGGCTCTAAATATGTTCCTATCTTGACAAATAATGACACGTTGCCAAAATAATATAAATATAGAATGTGCACACTGTGAGCAGCAGTGATATCCTGTTTGGATAAAGAATATTTGTCCATGTTTTATGGCTCAGAGAGAATAATTAGAGTGGAGCTTTTCACAGCAACCTTTATTCCAGCAGTCGTGAAGAAAGACAGAGGGTACTGGAGTCACTACAGCGTTAGTCATCAACCGCAGACGTCACTTGTGTGTTTACCTATCTCTCTCTGCACTGCTGTTCTCCATCTCCTCCATGGCTCACCTGCAATTATCCCAGCAGGCCACCAAAGAAGACAGTCCTGGACAGAGCTATTATTCAAATACGGCCAGAGTTGCCTCATCATGTTGAGATTTCTGACAGAGAAGAGACACCAGTGCAGGAGAAAAGCAGTTGTGCTTGTTTTATCTCTTTTCTGGAATAATAGATGGGCAGGTGATCGTGGTCACATGTTTGTCTCCCTTTTGTGTGTCTCAGATTTCCAACTCGTGGACATTGTGAGTGTTCATTATTGACAGAGCAACCTGTTGGGCGGTGAGCAGAGATGTAGTAGTGGCAGCAGTAGAGGAAGCAGCAGCAGCAGAGCCCTGTTTTTTTTTTTGCGTCTGGGCCCCAGAGAGTGAGAGCGGAGACAGACGAGGGAGTAGAGGGCTCTTACTCACTACTTAGAGCCCCTACACAGGAGCAAGTGACTCACATGGCGAACGCATGACGCAGGCATCTCACACAGATGCGCACACACTCATTTGCGCATGGATACACAAATACTCGTGTGTCCGTACACAAACACATTTGTTCTTTATCTGTCACACATGCATATGTGTGTGTGCACGCTTGTGCAAAACAAAGCTGGCTGTCTCTTATTCACAGGCTGTGGAAGCAGATTTGCCTCAATGCCTTCATTGTCTCACGGGGGAGAGAGGAATACAGAAAGAGATGTAGCACTGTACAGCAGGGAGACTTTGCCTCCCATAGAGAATCAGAGGAGGAAAATTAGTACACATACAGATGCAGCTTGTTGTACAAGTCCATCTTTTGCATGCTTGTTGCACTAATGCTGAACTGCTTGCACAACCCCAAGAGGAACTGCTGGAGGAGAGACTCAGAGAAGCAAGGACTGAGAAAGGCTGCTGCCACCTATAAGAACTGTTTATAACTACATTTTGCTTAATTCATCAGGTTTGTCCACAAACTAAAAGATCCTGCTCGGTGATGAGTGAACAAAGTCGTTACTTTCGGTGCACAGTTACACCAACAGATGAGCAAGAACAAAAATTTTGGGGCCTGAGACCTGAAAGTGCTTCTGGAGCCCAGAAAGTGTTCTTCTTGCATATTTTATTTCCTGGAAGTTCTGCACACAGTTCATGCCCAGTTAATCACATTCAAGTGTATGAACATGGGAAGTGATAGAATCTAAAAGAGCTGATCTGATCATCACTCATTGCACAACAGAGCTTGCAACTACGCAGCATGCCGAAGTGTGCGTGTAGGGGTTTAAAAAAACCTATAGGAGCTTAGAAATACTCTAAGTGACAGTACAGTATGTTGTAACACAGAGCAATCCAGACCTTTTTTTTCACAAGTCTGTTCACTGGGCGAAGGAAGCCTGAAGGGGCCGAAGCAGCCTGTTCTATCATTGAGTATTACAATGAGGCTTATCCTGTTGGATATGGCTTATTCTGCCTTATTCAGATCTGCACGCAGGCAGGAGGTAGAATCGAGCCTCTATAGGATCTGAAGAGGTGGGGTTGGGGTGGCAGGGGGGGTGCTTTAACGCCAGTGGGCCTATAGCTAGGTTTGTGTAGGTGTGACCTTGGGAAGTGATGACCTCATCAACATCCCTGCCTGCAAAGCTAATCTGTTACATTCTGAAGGATGCTCCTACGATGGAGCCACCCATGAAGGTGACATTGGCGAGTGGGCTGGTGGTGTGGAAACACACCCCTCAATGAAGCACGTGCAAACACATTCAAATGAGGATTCACGCAGATGCATGGTGTGAGTAGCCTACTGTACATGCATGCAAATACTGCACCCGTATCAGTCATGTGACACAGACACACTAACGATTCGTGTGCACTGTCAGGATGAGCCGCCGTAACTACATGAAACTTGATGGAAAACCACTTAGTTAACATCAGCTGATCATCCAGATGCCTGAAGCAGGTGTTGAGGTACGATGGGTGGTTAAAAGGTCAGACTGTTCTCTCTAATCTGACCCTAAAAAAAAAAGCCTGTTTTCTGCACATTTTCTACCTTTATTTTTCCAGAAAAGGTTGAACTTTTCTCACTCATGCACGGCGACCAGCAGGTGTGGGTTCAATGCCTTGCTCGAGAGTTTATTTTTTCAACCTCTCGGAGCTGTTGCTACTTTGGATTCACTGTGAGTTTACCATTGATGCTAACATGTATGACAGTGTCAGCTTATATGAGTATCCTCACCCTCCTCTCTGTCAACAGATGCCCTTGAGCAAGGCACGTCCAGCTCATGCAGTGGAGCTGATCGGCATTGAGCAACAGAAGAGACTGGTGAAGCAGTTGTGAATGAGCAAGATGAGTGGGAAGCAGAGCATATGTGCGTATGTACTCAGCTAATATACTGCTGCATGCGTTTTTAAAAGCAGTTGCACACACTATTTAATCTTCATCATTGGCTGAGTTTTTCTTATTTGTCACACAAAACCATTGATCTTGATCTATTTATTCATCAGTTTTGTTCTATATGTCATGGCGGATTAAGAAGAACAAAGTTTCATGTGACTATGGGAGCTTTGGGCACACGCACTCACCAGCCGAAGCTGATCTTGAGCATCATACTGAGTCGCTTTCGCCTGATGAAGGTTAAAGTATCATCAGCATTCGTAACATCTGCAGGAGGTGAAACAGTGTACGAGAATGAAATGATTCACAACCTGTTTATAATTTAAAATTCGCAGTATGTATGGACACGACAAAACTAATAATAAATAAATACATATGACTGTCTTTTTTGCATTTGCACTGTCTGTGGCACTGAGTTCACAGTGACCTTACACTTTTAAAGATGAATTACCATCATTCCTGCAGTGATACGTGTGTAGTTTTTTCTGAGATCTTTGCATTGTGTTTCGTACAGTGTTATTGTAATTATATGCAGAGACACTGCTGGTGTTTTTCGTTAGTGATCGGAGCCTGTCTGTTGTGGGCATGTAGTGCGGCCGACTGGTCTGTGTGTTCACTTCAACTGTGTTTCTCTCAGACTCGGAGGAAAGCATGAGTGGACGGTTTCAAGCTCCCCTCTCGCTGAATTGATTCTACTATGGGTCCTCCAGAAACACGGCGCTGAAACACGGGGGAGGTGCACTTCAAACCACACCACATATTCACCATTTTTGACACTTTTAACACGCCACCTTTAAGGAATTCGTGTTTGTAATGTTTCGGTATAGTTTGTGATGCCTCTACAACGTACGCCCTTGCTAGTGACAGCCGCTTTCCCGAAAATGCACGTTTCCAGCTCCCCCCTGTACCCAAAGATGGTATATTCCACAATTTATTCCAGGGAAAGACTGACAGTTTTTTGGGTCATGAAGCAGCTGTTCAAGTCAGTGGTTCGCCCTCCCTCCGCAAGAATAAGGAATTAGTACATTTCAAATTAGATAACGACAAACGTTGGTGCAAGAAGAGAAAAAAGTATGACATTGTGTCCGTGGCACAAAATAAAACCATTTAAACATGACGAAAAATATTTTTTATTGCTTAACAAAAAAAAAACAACACATTTTTATCACAGTTAATTTTCAACACATTAATATGTGCAATGTTGTGTTGTTTATGTTTTGCAGTTGTTTTAGTGCAGCGGGGCGAATGAGTGAAGCAAATTCCCTTTTTTTTAAATAATTCTTGTGATATTAAAGGTTGAGAACTTAGATCTCCCTCACACACACAAACACAGTAGCAGGCCTACAGTAGAAAGTGGAGTTGAACAATGGTGGAATTACTGTTGACCCCTCTTCAATAAATCCAGTCCAACGTTAGGTTGTGCCTCGGCGATCCATCAGCCTCCTATATAGGTTCAAATTAAAAGGTTTTATTCTGCGCCTGCAAAAAATTCAAACATCTGACTTGGTTATTATAAATCTCGTGATCGATACATCTCAGCTTGGTGCATAGATCAACGCGTGGAATACATTTTTTGTATTTACATGAATACTGTATGTGTGGGGGAAAAAAACTGTGTTTATGAGGAGTGACTGAATTTGTGCATAGCTGCATGCGTGTACTGCTGATTGTTTTTGTGCATGTGTGTTTGTGTAAGTGTGTGTGTGTGTGTGTACATGCAACGTGGGTCAAGCCCCTTGGAAACAGCAGCAGAGGTCCTCTGCTTTTAAGTGGATTAAAACTCCAGCACAATCCCCAGGGCCAGCAGGCATTGGACAGACTGGGTGTAGTTTAGATGAGGACTTAAGACTGATTATCTCTCATGCTGCCTTTGTTTTTGCTGCTACTGTTGCGTATATAAGTAATACCGTACAGTATATGGAAATCTGTGTGCTGTACACATTAGCAGCGAGACAGGCATTAGCTAGTCAGTCTGCAAATCAGTGTTATAGTGTTTTTACCATCTGTGTTAAATCTTTTTGCTGAGTTTCAGCCCAGCTCCACTTTGAACATCAACTGTTACCAA